GTCCCCATCTGAAACAATATTTAAGCAATTCGAGTACAGATATGACAGACAAGCGGGCACATGACTTGGCTCGCTGATGAAAAAGATGCTGTTAAAAATCCTGTCACTCAAGACCCTGAATATTTGACCTCCCTGTGCAATGGGCTGCACTTTGGGGGCAGGAGGAGGGACAGGGGGAGGTTTTCAAGTTAAACATCTCTTCCAGCACACACATGTACACAGTCCCAGAGGGCTTGGCTGCCTCACTACTTTATAACTGGAGCCCTTTAAAAAAAAAAGAAAAAGAGTTGAGCAACAACTTTGAGCAACTTTGCAGTCCATGAACTCTTGATGGTAAGAACAGCAAGTACTCTTATTCCTCTTCTGAATCACCATATCAACCAGAAGGGCAGAGGAGAGCACAATCACTGTCTGGTAAACTCCATGTTTTCTAAGAAGCCCAGCAGATGTTTTGAAATTGATTAATTTATGCCAAGACGACATCTGGAACATCTTCGCAGGAAAACCACCCAGTAAGGTAGTTAGAATTTAAAACAATCGCGTCTTTCTGTTAATGTTGGCTTTTTCCCTTGGCTTCATTGCTCCATAATTACAAGGGTGCTGACCTTCCAGCTATGCACAGTGACAGTTTGGCAATATATTAACACTTTGCTTCATTGTTAGACTTCTGAGTTATTGCCCAGGGCTGAGATTGCCCACACAGAATTTGTAATTTACTAACTTCTGTTTCTCTTTAGGAGCTACCAAGAGGCTGAAAGAGAACGGACCTCTTGTGGCAGATTTCAGAAGAACTTCTCTCACCTTCTTCATACATAAAGGAAGGCTTTGGATAAACACCAGTACTCAGCCACTTTACCTTCTGTCCACACCACACACGAGCAGGCCATGAATCCAAATGAAACAACCTCTGGGTTTCACACACTATCACAAAGATATCCAGAGATTAATGAGCCCCTTGCACCGGCCTGAGAGACAGGAACCTGCCCAGGAGCAACACCTGAGCAGAAATCCCACTAACTCCCCATGAGGGGGTGTCACCCAGGACTGAAATAATTCCAGTGCTTAGTTCTGGTGAGTCCACGAGGGAAAGAGGAACCAGTAAATAATTTAGCAATCTTCATAACCCAGGAAACAACCTGCTAGAGCCAAAGCATGCTAAACAAGGAACACTTCTGGCAGGGATTCATTCTAAGTTCAGGACTCAGCTTGGTACCAGACAAACTCAGTTCCAGGAGGTAACAGTGCTTCACAAATTCTCAACTCAGCTCTGCTCCCTTCCCAGAGCCACAGGAAGGAACCAAAGAAATCAGCTTTATCACAGCTCTTCACGGATGCCTGAGGACTCCCTCCCCTCACTAACCTCTGACAGCAGCACTGGTCTTGGCCAATCTATTTTGTTTCCCTTCACCTCTCCAGACAGCCCATCCAAAAGCACATTCCTGTCCAGATAAACTCAGGCTGGCTAGGTTTCCTGCAGGTCACTGAGAAGCGATCACCTTTGGGATTCACTTGTGTGGCCAAGCAGTGCAGGGCACTTTCTGGTTTTCATTTGCCAACAAAGCTCAAAGCCTCCATCATTAATCTTACTGTTACATATGGAAAAGGTACCCATATGGATTTATTTTGTTGTCACCTATTGTACTGACCTATCCCTGGCCTTCTCCGGACACAAAGCTCTGGTCACAGATGCTGAAAGGCAGTGAAGCTTCTCTTGGGTGTCTACAGGATACTGGGAAGAGGTGAGTGTAAGAATCCTTCCTGACAGGACAGAAGGGGTCCAACTGTCTGGAGGCTGAGGAACATGCATGGTCAGTGCCATATTTTAGATGCAGACTGCTACCCAGATACACCATAGCCAAATTCTCCTCTCCAGCCCTTCAGGTATTTCATACCATCACCACTTCTTGTTAGACTCGACACCAAAGAGCTCTCCTGAACCTGATTGAAGTTTAAGGCATTGATACTGTGTGATGATTCAAAACAAAGGTAAAATACCCTCAGCGCTTAACACTAATGAGAAATCTGATAAACGCAAGGTGTTTCTCAGGGTCAAGCACGCATTCAATGCCTGCTCTGCTTCAAACCTGAGCTGTGAGAAGTACGCTCCTCGAAGCATTTAAAGAATAAATTAAGTCATTAGTTATAAAACCAAGGGAGAACGTAAATAGAGTATCACTAGCCTTCACTGATGACTGCAGACAATGTGAAAACGAAAGATTTAGTGAGTTAGCCCGAAGGGCAAACTGCAGGACAGGGACAGTGTAAGGACTGTGCACCTCTAGGGCTGTCCATAGAGAGCCAAGTTGCACCCTGTGTAGCCACTGACCACGTCCTCACATTTCACATATTCACATAAATAAAGCTTTCTCTGCTTTATTTACAACTTTATTATTATGACTGTCTCCCAGCGAACATACTCCAGTACATGCTGTAAAAAATAATGTAATCTTGGTAAGAGAGACTTCCCTGCAGCATCTGCTATGAGCCGCTGGCTGAAGTAAGGGAAGAGACTGCACAGTTTTGGCCATGCACTATGGGGTGTGTAGTCTAGTAAACTGCAGATTAGCGAGGCTTGACTGTTATCTTAATTTACAGCCCATAGAGTTCATGTTAACTCTACACACATTTTTATGTATATTAGCAGCTTAGTTTGACCCAGATACTTTTATTGGTTATTTGCCATTTCTCCTTGACAAGTTATTACTGACTTCCCATTCTAGCTCCCTACAGCAAGACCTGAAGCCCTGTCAAGGAGAAGAAAATGTCAACAGCCTCCTCAGCAGCGCTCAGAGCAGCTCGGGCTCCCGCTCCCCAGCTTTAAATTGCTACTAGGCAATCATTAAAGGAGCAGCAGCTTCTATGCAAGCTGCGATTATGGCGCTATAAAAAGCAGCAACAGAGCCAACTCTAATTCAGGAAAATCACTGCTTCCATCTGAATATCCAAACCCATCTCCTTTTGGTCAGCGCAGAGAGCCGCTCAGGAAGGCCTTTTCTGATCAAGGCTGGGTAGTTAAGTCTGGACAGTCACGCAGAAATGCCCCATTCCTTCTGCTCCGATACCCTGTCGAGTCGATCACATTTTCACACAGCACTTTCAAAGGCTGCTGTTACTGCTCCGTGCATTTGCCCTAATGAACAAGGAATTCTGTTGATGCAGAGCAGCTGTCATTCTCCTTCTGCTAACACAGCACTCGAATGCACCTCATCATTGCTCATCAAGACAAGCGACTCCAACACCCAGTCTGCGGCACATTACAATACATTAATTCCTGTAATGACTCCAAAGAACAAGAAGAATGCCAGGTCTTGACCTGGGTGGGTTCTACAGAATTAACTCAGCTAGAGATTAAGGCCATACAGTGATGATAAAGTCTGACCCACCAGCCCCAGTGTCACATACTGTATAGCCCTGTGACAAATCCCATGTGCAATTCCCATTGAGCTGACAACCAACACACGTAGCTCAGTCTAAACTACCATTCACTCTAGGGAAGGTTTTTGTTTGTGACACACACTGACCTCAATTTACAGGGAGGTCAAAATGATACAGCCCATAGTCTGCACTAATAAAATAAATCACATCAGATGACAGCTGCTCCTCCCCAGCATCTTTCATTACGCTCTGCAAAATTTTGTTGCCCTAAGTTAAGAACAGAAAAAACTCCAGGATCCCTTCTATTCTCTGCTTAACACATTTACTTGCCATTCTTCATTATCCTAAGGCTTTTAAAAGTTTTTTTTCTGCAGCGTCATTGAAAGCCTCCAAATTGTTTACATGCCAATGTTTGGTGTGTAGCTTAGAGTACAAAGACTAAGCTGATCTCATTTTGCCTTGGTGGGAAGTTAATTTTCCTTGTGTTTTTACAAAAGGAAGAAACAATTAGCAGTTTTGAGGAGAGGCTTACACCACACATTTCCTAAACAGATTTGGTTTCTAAATAAAAGGAAGTGTTTAACAGGTTATATCAGCATTAAGATTTAAAAACTCCTGGGATCAGGTTTGCTCTCCCCTTATTTATTCTCAGCACTAGTATTTGTGCCTTTAAACAAAATTCCTCTCCCAGAAAATACATACATCCACACTTGGCCCCTTGACATTCATGCCTATGGCAAAATTATTTGCACATTTTCCTTATTGCATAATTGTCTCATTAGCACTGCAAAAAGAAGGTGATGACTTTTCCCTCTGTGCCATCAGCCTAATCCAAGAGCAATCCTGACTGGTGCTGCAGGAGCAAAACTTGCCTTTTCTAAAAGAGAAAGGGACTCTGAACCTCTGAGGTGGCACTGGAAAGATAATTATAGCACTTGAGCGCTGGCATTTACTTGCAACCCTTAAGGAAGATTAAACCAGTAGGCCAGGCTGGAACTTCCCTCTCCTTTGCTAAACATAAACATTCATATTCAAATTGCTTTCAGATATATTTAAATCAATAAAAACCTCTGGATGATGGTCAATAGGGCAAAAAACAACGCCAACTTTTAAATACACAGATGTAGTATATACATTAACCACGAAGCCTGGCTTAAACACAGCAGTATTTACTTTATACTGTTCAGAAACGCGTCTTGGTGACTAAAATTAATAGAACTTGTCTGGAGGACAGCACAAGCTTTCTAAGAGCTCTTTCAGCTTTAACTTATGCCCCAGCTTTTGCCTTTTTTTTTCTTCAAAATCCCCACCTATGCAGCAGCACGCCTCTCCCAGTGGCACAGCAAGGCCATGGAGCCAGCATTCCTTCCAGGGCTCATGGGTCTGGGTGTTTTGGGAAGCCTGTTGATGGATCAGACCTAGAAGAGGGACTGGTTTGGCTGAACAAACAAACAGAAGGTCTCCTCTTCACAATGGCCAGCTCTGTGTGTGTCCATGTGTGTGCACGCACGTGTGTAATCCCCTCCTGCCCTCCTCTGCAAACCTCTCTTACCTGGCATGGGGAAGGCTTCTTTAGGGTTACACTATCAGCCTCCTATGTACATGTGCATCTTATCAATATCTGACCAGATGGTACCTATAAATTGAAATTCTCACTGTTTTATTCTACTATTAAACTGGGAATGGGGTCATGGAGGGAAGTCCCAGGCTACACTTGAAGTGCACATCCAAATACATCATGAAGCGTTATGAGGAGGCACCTAGTTGAGTTCATCTTGGTGTACAATGCCATGCACTCAAGACAGCTGCTCTGCCAAGCTCTGACTTCCACATCCTGGCTGTGTGAGTAAGCTATTATTTGGGTTTCAGAAAGCTATGATAGAACCCTAATAAATCCTGTAAGAGGGCAAATAGTCTAAGTAATTGATTGCTATCTTGTGTTATTCTGTCATAAGAAGGCAAATAAGCATTTTTAGCTACAAACTGTGTTGCAATCAAAAATTTTTACACCAAATGGTCTGTTGAAAATTTCAGCCAAATTAATTAACAGTGAATACAAGAAGGAGTAAAGTCTGCATGCAGTCGTGTGCACTTGGTCTGTGTGTAACAAAACAGGAAATCTCAGCACCCCGTTCCAATTAAGCAAAGACTGATTTCTCATGGAACATAAATTTTCTACTTTTCCCCCAGAACAACCTTATGCCGATGTTTTAAATAGTGGTAAAACATTGTTTTTAATTTCACACCTCACATAGCACAGTCAAATGCTTCATAACAACATAAACGAAACTTTAGGCAGAGCTTTGCGACTGAAGTCAAACAATGATCTCCCCCCCACAATATGCACTCAAGGTTTGCAGGGAGAATACAGAAACTTGTTGGCTAAGGCCACAGAAATGAGTTCTCTGGTGTTTTGGCTGCTGCTGCCAAACCTAGTCATGAATGTGTTAACAGCGGATGCATTGATCCAAATCCCACTATTCCCACCACCCATCAAGTAAAGAATAATTTATTCTATTTCTGATCTCCTTTTGGTTGTATCGTAGGATCTAACGACTTGTGACTGGGAAACAACGCCGTGTTCTTCTTGAGAAAATGCATACCCATCTGAAAAGCAGAAGAAGGAAAAAGAAATCAGTCACTGGAGTTGAGCTCAAGAGTACAGACATCTTTTAGAAACAGTTTTAGGCATCACTGAAGTTATGTGATTGAGACCACTGCAACCTTAATTTCTGTGCTGTGCTTCTGATGCTCAGAGCTGCTCACTGCATTGCCCATGCGGCACAGAAAGGGTGTCTGCTGCCTGCCCTGTCCCTCTGCTCCCCTCCCCAGGCCAGGACAGTGCACACAGCCACCAAGGCCCTCTGAGTCAACCTAATAAGCTACAGATTGATTTGAACACACTCCCACAGTACTCCCACAGTGGCAGAGCTTCTCTAAAGACTTAAGAGAGAGATAGATTTGCATTTCAGCTTGTCTCCTCTGAAGCCTGCTTGATACCAGCAGTTTCTCTGGAGAAAGGTGGGAATGTCTAGCCCACAACCAGATTTTTCTCACATCTTCCTCTTTACTCCCCTCAGGATTATTTTTTTGAACAATTTTTCAAGTGGAATCTGATGAATGACACTGTGAAACTTTTGATTCTCTCAGCCAGTCACTTATATTTTGCATAGAGAAAACATGTTCTGGAGGTGTCTATTTGGTTAATCCTGCTGGCTAGCACAATCCTGTGGTCTCCCTAGAAACTACTCAGATGAAAATAACTACGTGCCTGATTTCTTTTAAAGTATTGTGGACAGGCAAGTGACATTTACTGATAGCATCTGCAGAACACCACAATGCTGGTAAAACAGTCACAAATAGCTAATGGGCAAACATGATGAAACAGCAGACAGACTTGCAGACGTGGCCCTATAGGAAGTTCTGAATGGAAGACTATAGCAAAGGACAGGAGATTTTTTGACACTCTGAGTCACAAGCACAGCAGGAAATCTTTGCCAGTAAGTAGAGGGGATTCAAACAGAAATACATTGCTTCAATCACATATCCCTCATGGAAGTGATTGCAGGGCAGCAGGAACCTTGATTTGATTATACGACCAATCATCCCAGCATCCCATTTCATTTTCCCTGAGCAGTTCCATGCCAATATACATACTGCTACAGAGGCACAGGTTCATTTTTCCTGCCTGTAGCTGAAGGTTCACAGAATACATTCATGAAGTGCAAACAGCCTTTTGGAAAAAGGTGTATCCATCCTGGATCATTGCAAAGGAAGTACGATGTATAAAACAGGCTTTCATTTAAAAAAGGGTAGATTCACACTTAAACAAACACCTCCACTGGGTTTGTTCCATGTCAAGGGCCAGCATCCTGTTAGCATTTTTGGCTAAATTCTCCATGGATAAGTCAACTTGGTCAAAGACCACAAGCTTAAGCCCTGGAAGACTGAAGCCCATGTCCCATTGCCTTATTTGCATCGAGGTGGCTTTGCCATATTTACTTATCCATGAGATCATCCAGCGTAACGGAGTCTTCAACTGCCATAACCACTGCAAATCCAGCACTGACCACACAAGCCAGTAGTCCTGGGTGTCATCTTCCCATGACCTGCTTATTCCCAGTGCTGCCACAGGCCTGCAGACAGCCAGGCAGCCCAACCACTCCGCAATGCCAATGCAAAATTCAGTCAAAGGAACCTGTTCACTGCTGTCACATCAATAGGAAACACCTTAATACAGCAAGAAATTTCAAGCTAAGACGATCTGTGACAAGAATACCAGGGGTATCCTTAAATGTTCATGTCCCTCATCCATCCTGGACTATCAGCAGCAAGGGTTTTGTGTGTATGTCATGGGAAAGGCTGTGACCCCCAAGCTCCTCAGCCGAAGCTCAACATTTGGCAGCTCATGTAAGACTTTTCCTGTAGATCTCTATACAGGAAGATGAGTTCATATTACATTTTTCTTTTCACATTACAATTAAAATTGAACTTCAAGCTGTTTAGGCAGCTGACTGTGCCTTGTGGAATCAAAATGCTGCAAAAGCATCCACACTCCCCATGCAGCTCTACATTTCCACTGCTTGCCGACCCCATCCAAAAACAATGAAAGTTTCCATCTGTCAGTTACATGGGAACTTTCTGGAAGTTTCAACTTTTCCCCCAACTCCAGTTTTAAAACCACACCTATGAGCCTGCCTTGGGAACAAGGCCCTTATTGTTCAGCGTCCTGCAGCAGCCCAAGGAAAGAGCACATTTCTTTGGGGCTTTCTGGGCACAACCCACTCACCCTCACAGAAGGAAGGACCTTTATACTCTGAGACTTTCTATTAATGGAGGAAAGTGGCACTTTTGAATATCTGTCAATGGGGCTCATTTGTTAAGAAGAGATTCACATTCTCATCAAATCTAAGGTTTCACTGGTACCAGATATCAGACAATCTACTGAATTTTAAAAGCATCCTGTTGGGTTTTCTTCAAGCTTTGATATTCTATGAGTAGATCTGAATCTAGTCTCCCATTAGGTCTCTCATTTAACACCCTTTTTCTGTTCGCTGCAATGTCTGTTCTGGTCTGTGCAACGCTGCGCTACAGCAACCATCTCGATGGGCGTGCCTCCAACACAGACAGCTGTGCAAGCTCAAGAGCATCTCATGGCAACAGCTTCCAAGACCAGGACCAGAGAGTGTCCACAGGGCTCTCTTTATTCCAGAAGATCTCCTCATGGAAGGACTGCTTACAGTTTTTTGTCACTTCAGGGATTTATTTTAGAGGCCTTCTATTCCTTGCACTCTCCTTCTATCCTTGCACTCACCCAAATTGTCTGCCCCAGGATTTGTTTTGGCCAGACAGCAAGAGGGCACTTGTCACTGGCAGCCCATCAGAACTCTCACCTGCTGCATCATTTCACTAGTTCCTACTACAGTGGTATTATGGTTTAGTACTGTCCAAACTTCCAAACTATAAAATGCATCTTTTTGTTTGCCTTTGCAGAAAAATGCCCAGATTCAAATCCACTGAAACTTTTAGGGGGTTGAGGAGATGTGAGAGACCTTTTTTTTTTTCCCAATCTCTTTTAGGAAACATTACTTCTTGGATAGCAAAACTCTCTCTGACATAATGAAAATCAACACTGTGGTATCACTTGACCAACCAAATTCTGTCTCAGGCGAAACCTTTTGTTCTGCAGAGTTTTTAAGGAGATTTGCTGTGATGTCACAGTGCATGTTTGCCAGTTAAAAAGTGAATGGTAACTCAGCTTTGACTCAGCAACCATCTTCTATTTAACTTTGGAAAGGGAAAGCTGCCTAAAATCTTGAACAGTTTGACTAATGCTTACTGAAGTAAATAATTTCTCTTTTGATAAACCATGCCTGTGTTTTCTTAAGGACCCAAGAGGAATTCCTGACAAATGGTCCCATCTCTTTAGTCTCAGATGCCAACTTACTGGTATTTGCAAGTAATAATAAGAGTCAGACGCCACAGCATCAAATTCTAAACCAATTATTCCTATTTCTTTCCCTAAAATTGATATTAAAGTATTGCAACTCCACTTAACAGTCAACAAACATGCAGCTTGGAAAAAATACAGAATGTATATTATATTTCAAACACAAGAAAGATAAGAGGAAAAAAAAAGTTTAAAAAGCATCTCAAGCAGCTCCCCTGTTGTTTTTCAAATAAAAATGCACTAGCAGAAAAGTGAAAGGAAGGAGGTGTCTGCTAGTGGAGAATAAATGGTGGGATTAGAGCCCTCAGCATGAACACATTATTATTATTTATTATTTGTCAGCCCCCATACTGTGCAACGAACCTCAGATGACAGGTGCTTTTTCTCCACTGATTAATAAGGTGCAAACCATATGCTCTGCATTCAGATTTACTCTATGAAATCACCATATTCTGTCAAAGGAAGAAGGATTTTCTTGGCTAGCATAGGAAGCCTGGGCCAAGTGCAGTAATCCTCTCTCAGGCATGGCTGTTGGTGTTTCAGAGGGAGCTCTGCCAAAGCCCTGCTTAATGGGAGCAGACTCAGCTCTCTTTTTAAAGAGCACATTGAGACAAATGATAACTGAACACCAGCAGGGGCATTACAGGAGGGAAACCACCCTAGAAGGATGCTGTAGAACCTTCCTTATGGATGGAGGGTACCCTTCCCATCCTCTGGGGGCACAGGTGATACAGGTCAGTCACACAGGGGGAAAGGGGAGGTCAAGAGCCATCTTTTATATCTAGAGTTTGTCTAAAGGAGGTGCTGCTCTCACAAAGTCACAGCAGTAAAAAAGACAAGAACCTGGATGGAGACCTGGGGAAAACCTCACAGCCAGCAAACCCTTTTTGGAAATCATTATTGCTCCTTCCCTCAAGGGAGAGCCACACAGCAAGCTAAAGGGAACAGTCCAAAGACACATCTGAGAGGAGCCTGGTAGCATTTCCTGCTCATTCTTAAGAGGTTTCAGAAAGCAGATGGCAACAGGGAAGGACCAATTTCACCAGGCACCTTCATCAGGAGGTGAACACAGCCTGGGGAGCAGTGTTGTCAGCACTGCCTACAAGATTGCACTGAGATGGTTTTATTTTAGCACCTGGGCTTGACAACCATATGCAACTCTTCCACTAAAGTCAGGAGCTTCACATTTCCTTTTTTTTTTAAGTTTTCACAAATGTCCCAGAAAGGAACCATGTGATCTTTGACACTACAGTTAGCAGAAAATTTCTTTCATGCTTCTGGCAGGTCTACACAATTCAGAAACACAAAAACAAAGAGCAAGAAAAACAGCCATGAAGGTTTTACTTTAAGGACATTCCTTCCAAATGGACAGGGCTAGTCTCCAAGGCAGCCACTCTGAGCCAGTTTCTTTAATGAGAGGAGGTGTTTGAGAGGCTAATCCTGGCTGACACTCCCATATGGCCCTGCCATGGCACTGGCTGTGAGGCTCTGTTGCCCACTTTGGGGGCTGGACCCACAAGTGCCTGGTGCTGTTGAGAGCACCCCTGACACACGCCATGCCTTAAGGTCTTGTGCTGTGCTAATGCTTTTGGAAAAGGGCTGGCTCACCAACAGAGAGCCAAGGAAACACACAGGGAGCTTCTGCCTCTTGTACAGAGCCGTGTAGCCTTATTTCAGTCAGCTCTTTACTCCCACCATTGACCACCAGTAGTAGCCCAGAAACTCCCTGTGAGGTTTTTTTCCTTTCCATGTAACTGGAAACAAAGCCGTTTAGACATTGCTTCCTCCCAAAACATTTGGAAATGGTTGCTGTCAAAAATAACGTAATTTCCAACCCAGTACTGCATCTTTACAATCTGTGCTACCAAATTTAATCCCATTTTCATTCCTTGTTGGGACCAAGGCAATCCATTTGCTTAAGCTTTTGTCAGCTCTAACTAAACAAACCATTTTCCTCCTTTATATGTAAGCAACAGATTCTGAGTTGAAGTCACAAAAGCAATTTTTGGTCTTCACAGCCTGGGAATTTAGGGCCTGGTGGAAACACATGAACAGTTCAAGACTTCAAACAGAGTGCTTGTAGTGTGATTTAAGATACTGGCCCGGCATGTCAAGGCTACTGCCCTATTCATCAACTCTTTGCTTTGAAGATTTCTAGCATTTAGTAAACAGTTGTACAATCCAGGGTTGTGAAAACAGCACATATGTTCCCTGGATTTTACATGGCCTTGTACGTATAGCAGCTATGCAACACTGGAAAATAATATTTGACAAGAGATGACAGAAGTAATGGATACATCACAAAAATCATCTTTCAATCCTAACAGCTTCACAGTCAAAATTTATGTTCATGTGAAAAACAGATTGCTGATTGTAACCTGTCCTGAATGGCCTGACTCATTTAGCACTTAATCATTTGCATTTACAGGGAAGCTGGTTATCTGAATTAGGGTTTATTTTGATCTCATTTTTCTTTCCCCATAGCTGTTTGCCTACTAACAACTTGATGATGTGTTCTTTGAGACTAAAAGCACATATTAAGTCTGACTAGTTACCCCCTGGTATAGCTCCTTTCTGCAGTGCTTCACAGGTTTCAGATTGTGGTTAAGTCTGCACAGCAGACTATTTTGACAGCCATTTATTTGTGCATTTTATGGATTTCTTCTGCCAATCATTGCTTTTGGAATCTCCTCAGAGCATGTTTGCATGCCGAAAGCCATGCTGCTATCAGCATCCCTGGCTCCTTTGTACAAAGGATTAAATCCTTGCAGAAATGTGGTCCACAGGGGTGCTCTTCTCACTGACCTCTCTTCCCAGACATAGTGGGATTGATTGCCAAAGACTCCAGATCCCTTGACAGTGATGGCAGCCTTCCAATGGCTCTATCAAGGAGAAACACTATCAGATCCATCACTGTCCCACCCTTCTAGTCAAATTTCCCATGGAAAACAAGAATACCTCAGGTATTATCCCAGCCCTGCCTCCATGACCTGAGCCGTAACAGTTCTGCTACAGAAGGAGACAGCCAGCAATGAAATTTGACTCCTCTGTGATTCTTGGGCAGTCAGGGGTGTCACTTCCTACTGCAATTGCAATACAAACCCCAAATCCTGAGTGTCTGCCCCTTGCCCTGTGTGCAGCAGCACTGCACAATGAGGGAGGTACTTTCTTTAATAAATAAGCCTATTGATACCACCAGTTTCATCACAAGAGAGACTGCATTTGCTCACTAGAAAGGGCTGACTGGTCCCTCAAGACAGCTTGGTCCTTTGGTGCATCTGGCCTGCAGAGCTGCTAGAGATGATTTTAAATACTGCGGAAGCCTTTAAAACACTGACAAAAGCCCATCAGGTCCAGCAGACACAGGAAGACAAATAAATGGATGACTTATACATCAACAAGAAATGCCACTGATTTGAAGCAGCAGTAGTAGCCAGTTGTGATGTTGCTTCTCTTCTCCCAGCAGGAGACAAAGAGGGAGAGGAGAGGGAGAGGAGCAGATCTGCAGGCCATGGCTTTCCTCACCAGCAACCCACAGAACCCTAATGGCATCCCTGAAACATTTCTGTATTCTCAGCTAACCACAGCTAACGTGACATTTCATACAGAAATAATTTCTATTAAAGCTAAGCTCTACCACAACATTTACTTTACGCAGAGTTTTTGATTTTTAGACTATTCTTAAGACTATCAGAATTCTACCTTTAGAGAACCCGTATACTGGGATTCTATCATTTGGGCCTGGTGATTGAATCCCAGGGAATTAGCCACATTTGAGCTCCCCTTGCCTAGGGCCAGACACACTAATTCCACTTCCAAATGTACGCGTCTCGCTTGGCAGCTCAGCCTCAGTGTTACATTATCTCTACCTACAATTTAATTAAAAAATAATCACCCTTGGCTTCCCTGACGTGGGGCTAGGCTGTGAAACAGAGGCGGATGTGAGCCACTACTTACGTGACACGCTTTGCTGGACAGAATGAGCGCGGAAAAGGCTCGGAGGAGTTTTCCTGCCGAGCCTTTTTAACAAATGGTCACGTTCGTTCACGCTAAGGGAGACAGAAAGAGAGAAAACACACCAGTGAGTAACCAGATCATTTCAAGGTAAAAGTCAACTGTATTTAAGGTACTTATCAGTTTTGACTTTGTCAGTGCTAAAGGTGGTTGTAGCATGAAAAAGAATTTTCTCTCTCTTTAAACTGCACATTATTAAGAGAACTCCTCCTTTCTAAGGACACTTTGTATAAATCTACTTTTGGTCAGTTCATCCCTAATATCACCATCATTGTGATTTCTGAATGTGTGATGCCTCTAAATTATTACAAAACATATCAGAAGTCTGACATCGAGTGATACGGAACATTAAGAAGATTTCTCTTTAGTATTATGCTAATGCATTATTATTATGAATCACAGCATACACAAACTGCCTTAGAGAGAAGGAGCAAAGCATTGTCGCTTAGCACAAGGTAGAAGGCTTCTATCACACCTGCAAAATGGCCTGAAGCAGCCAAAGGTAGGACCCATAGTTAATTCTGCCTTCTAAAGAATGCTCTCACTTTAACCAACCTCCCATATGGAAAGAAAACTTTCTATCCAGTTTCCTGTATTAAAAAACTCTTTGGTTTACACAGTTCTTGTCAGAGGCCTGAAAAAATTAGTGCTGAATTCACAAAAAGAGAAAATACCAACTTAAGATGAAAAACACAGTATGTTTACAACAGGTGTAACATATCAACAAGAATTATTAGAGGCACTCTCCACTTCGATTTTTATAAAAAAACAACACTCGCTTCATCAAGAACTTGATGCCCAGAGTTAAAAAATTATTACTAAGATCCTGACCTTTCAAAGCACTTAATTATGTATATGAGTCCCACTAAGTTCAATGGGGTTTTAAAATAACATAGGCCTTCAAATCTCATTGCACTGGAGCCTCAAGTAACTTAAGTATCAGATTATTTTCAGAAAGGTATTAGAGTCTACTTTGGTTCAAAGTTCTCCACAATTGGTCTGTTAATTCATCCTCACCCTTGTTTCTGACACTGAGATGGAGCTAGTGCATAGAAGGATCTGTTTGCTGGTACAGCTCCTTGCAGTGCCTTTGTCCCATTTGCCCCACATTTACACTGTGTCTCCATTTTCCCAGTCCGCTTTTTCTTTCACATCTTTATTCACAAGGAGCAATTGCACTGATTATGCTGCAAACATGGATACACACCTGAATGCCAATGCTGGTATCTTCCTTGGGTTAGATTACAAATTCACATGCATTTGGTGTAGGAAATGGAAATCCCAGCAAGCGCAGCTGCTGCTGTCGACACGCTAACAACAGCTTTAAACAAACAACTCCCTTTCACTGAAGCAGTTTGCTAACTTCAATCAGGAAAGTAACTGAAGAATCTCTGAGATGCCTGTAATATGTAATCCAGCCATGCAGGCTTATATTCCACTTAATAGTCCATTAGGGCAATAGCCAGGCTCACAGTCCATGGTTCAGTGCATAATGAGGTGTCCACAAAAGACAGGGTGGAATCCTTCTCATTTTCCTGTGATCCCCAAGCTCACACAGCTGAACTAGAAGCTTGTAAAACCTATGGACTCCTCCTCAAAATCTTACAAACTCTAAGCATTTTCAGACACTTGGTCTCTTCCCCTCCTTCCCCTGGCACCATAGAATCACACCTGCAATGGGTATGGCAGGTTGCTTTCCCGGCCTGCAGTCAGCAGTATTCCCACAACATAAAACAGAAGTTGATAATAAATTTTGAAGCAAAGTATTGATTCCAACTGAGTTTGTCAAACAAACTCTAACAACTCTTGGCTCAGAAGACCTACATGTATTCAAAGAAGAAAGGATCAGAGGTTTCCATTAAAACTAGGGTTACAGCATGAAAGCTTCTAAAAATCTTGGAGGACCCAAGTCATTAAAAAAACCAAGATCAATTTCTGGCGGTAAGAAAATCTAGCACATACAGAAAGAAGTTTATACCTGTTCCAAGCAGGCAGCATGAGGGAAAACACATACTACTAAGAATCACCAGGTAAGGGTGATGCAATGGAAGGCACAAAGCAAGGCATGAGACTTCTCTAACCTTTAACCTTCCTTGCTTAGGAAGTTGACTGCCTGCAGAGCCAGCCACTACCAGTGCATGTGCAAACCAGTGATGCTGTACTGCACAACCTCCTGCTGACTGCAGGAGACTGCTGGGTAACTTGTTAGTTTAGTGAAACACTGTCTAAACACACTGCTGTTCTGTGAATGACAGAAGTGCAATACTTGTTCATGTTCTGCAGGAAAAGAACATGTAGGAAGACTCTTTTCTATCTCAGTAGGAGGGTGATTTAAACTGAAACCAATCAAACTTAAACCAATCAAAAATACTGTTGTAAGCGACAAATAAGCAATATTTGCCACAAAATTCTTATACTGAGAATGGAATTAACCACAGCAGAAAAGCTCACAAGGAAAAATTCTTCATCTGCTTGTCTACCATGCAGCAACAGATGAGGTGCAGACCAATAATGCTTAGCCCCTCAGGATACTGCATTCAGTGTGTGGAGAAAAGCCTGCTGTCAAGGGACCTTGAATAGGAGCAACACATTGCAGCTCTAAGAATGCCAAAACCATGCTATCTTTGAAATTGCTAATTATAATCAACAAGTTCAAAACTGAAGTCACATCTGATTTTCCCATTTGCAAAATGATATTGGACTGTATCTATGCAGAGAAAGAAAAACTCACAGTAGAATTAGAGTATTTGTGGTTCAAATATGAGGGAAGACTAAATAGACTGCAACTCAAGACCAGTCAAATACTATAAGATAAACCTTTAATACACAGAAGGTAATGCAACACAGTTCTTCTGAATTGGATGAGTATTTTATTTAGCTACAGATATTAGATCTCCCAGTAAAATCCCTGAAGTGAAAGTGAAGTGGCTTTCTTAACTAGTAAGTATTTGCACTTGTACAAAGTCCCTGCTTTCAGAAAAGGTTTCTGCCTGCTGCTAACAGGTAACAAAGTAAAGACTTCTCTGTCTGCCTCACACTTTGATGCAAAAGTAACAACACTGGGCTCACAGGCAACAGATTAGGCCTTGCTCACAGAAATACTGCTTGTAAATCAACCCCAAGCATTGGCCATGATTTTCAGGTTTAATTCTGTTTCCTAGTGACCCTGAGCCAGAGCCTAAACACTCCCATGGGATCTAAGGATGGCATCTTCAGATGCATTGAGACAAAAGGATAAGAGATCATGAGATCACACTCTGATTACTGGACAATGGTGTTCATATTCAGGAATCTTGTCAGAATGGAAGAAGTCACAAACCCAGACATTCTTATGGAAGTCACTTCCATAAGAAAGTGTCAATGACATGGAAAGTGACAGTGAAATATGCTTTAGCTGGTTAGTCAGTAACCTCCAAGGGGTAAGGGAGAGGCACCATCTATCTCTAATATGAAGGACAAAGGACACAGACAAAACAGACAAAATGCTTTGAACTAAATATATACTTGACTAGAACAAAAACTGTTAAAAGGTCCCAATTCTGAGAGTTTCTATGAAAAAAAAAAGATTTAAAAAAATCATTAGTCAAGTCAGCCAAAATCAGATTCAGTTGCTATCAATAATGCAGAATACCTTAGGCCAGGAATACCTTTGTGATGGCTTCATAAGAAAGTCAAGATGACTTCTGCCTGCCTAGAATTCTGTGCTAGCAACATCACACAAATTCATTAAGTGAATGACAAATCAAAAGGTAAACTAAAGGCAACATGTTATTTCATAACAATGCTTTCAATTCCATGAATAAAACGACTCTTCCATTTTCCTATCTGAATTGCTCTAAGGTGTCAATGGAGACCTTCATTTTATTTTTGTATTCTCTTCTTCTTATCCCTCACAAAAGCAAACAGCCCTTAAATCCAGGCAACAAACATCTGGCTTTACACATTCAAATGAGATGCATCAAAACAAACAGAATAATTCAAAGCTGACCACAAGGTCCTGCTGTCTCATTTGCTCAAGTAATTAAAAAAAGATGAGCTTTGCCACAATTAATCTACTGAGCACTAATTAGCGTTAATGAGGATTTGGGGTATTTGGTATAGTTTGACCCAGAATGTCCTCCTGAGTCCATTAATTGACTGGTGGCAAAAGCTGGGATCACAAAGACTGGAAGGTTAAAGTGGATGCAGGTGTCTCTTAAAATTGGATCTTCCCTTTGAAAACACATGCATATCCCAGTTAAAAAAGAAAAAATAGAAATTCAGAGCCCTCCTTCTCTTACAAAAACTGAATTCTTGTTTGTGTTTTTTTACGATTTGCCAGAGGAGATACAGAGCAGAAGCACACCAAATAGGCAAATACACTCAGTTGCCACTGGTTTTAACTCACTGTCCTTCTGGATTATGAAGAATTCAGTCAGATACAGACATTAGAAATTATTTGGTTTGTTTCTGCCTTTCCCCTTTCCAGAAGGAAGAACTAGGGTGCCTAGTGGAGCCTTACCAGGGCTGCTAGAGATGACACAACTGAAGTACACAAGCACATTTCCCAGCTGCCATCCCGTGCCAAAAACATGCCAGGAATTCAGGGCAGAACCTTGGCTCTCCAGTGCAAGAGACTCAGGGTCCATGGGTAAGCCCAGAGGACAAGAAAGCTGCAGCTGTTTGCCCTATCATCTGAACACCTACAAAGCCCTCACTACACTGCCTGCAGGTGCAGCATCACTGGTTCTTCCACCCTACAGTGGTGCTGCAGCAGAAAGCCACAGATAAATAATAATAATTCAGCTTAGTTTAAACCAGAAAATCTAAACCTCCAAGGCTTAGGCTGAAGTTCTGTCCTTAACTCCACAGCCTCCCTCCTACCCATAAGGATTTTCAAAAGAAACAGCAGGTAAACCCTTGTTCAGTCTCTTTGCTTCCAGTGGCACACACTCTGCTAAAGACAGCCTGAGAAACTCTAGCTGGCTTTCATTATTCTCCTGTTGGAGGAAACATCTTGCAACGTGTTGCCCTGTCACTGTGACAGCAGGGACCT